ATATCCCTTAATGAGAATGGCTTTCTTTGGCCATCTGTTTGAACAATATCGTACTTCAGAGTCACTTTCTGTCTTCCAAACCCTGCTTCATTCTACATCATAGCATTTACCATCCCTATCGGAGGCATTATATATTTACTGTCTCTCCTTTATCACTAGAGCCTAAATACCATGAAAGCAGGAATTTAGTCTGGGTTGTTTACATTGAAACAATGTAAAGGGACTAGAATATTATCAAACACAACTCAGTAAGTTGATTCACTAAGATATGAATGAGCAAATGAATGAAAGAATATATGAATGAATGAGTAGATGACACAGTAAAAATTATAGGATATATACCACTTGGGGTTATTTTTGGGACATGAAAAAGTGATTTCCAATAATAAGAGAGACCATTAAATTCACTGAATGAGAAACAACAGCAATAAACACTCACACAAACTCCCACTCTCCTGGAGTCTCCAAATGTGTTCTTTTCTATTATATTGTCAGACAAAATAAACTGACACTACTTAGTATGCTGACATTACAACATACAAAGAATAAAATATCAACAGTGCTTTGTTTACAATGTGATTTTTTCCAGTATCTAATGTGACTGAACAATGTTGCTTCAGTGGAGCTTGCATTTAGGAGGTTATCAGGTTAATCTGTGGGGGAAGGTTTGGGAAATTAAAGAAAATATACAACAGTGTATTCCTGATAAAAAGATGCCATAGGTCCTTATGCTTGCAGATCTATTAATTATGTATTTCTTTTTTCCAAGTAATGTTTTATTATATTCACCAGTTTTCCCTTAAGACAGATTCATTGTATTTACTCCTTCTCCCTCGTAATTAATGAACATTTCCATTAATTATTTTTCATACAAGGAATCTGATATATGAGCTTATCTGAATACTCGGGGTAGGAAATAAATAGCATGCCTTCTAGAAATGAATATTAAATACTATTCTTCAGCAAAGTAAAGGATTTATGTTTAAAGTACATTACTGCTCTCACATTTGGAAATAAAGTTCAAGGGATTAAGTGGAAATAATTCTGCTTCATGTTATTTGTAACATACAGAACCTCTTGCCTTAAATTTAGAGATACCTGTTCTATGAAATCTAATAGTACATATACTGATAACATGTGCTATCTGAAGCACGTTCTATTTGTTAACTTTTTTAATGTTATAAAAACCCAATGAAGAAGAATTTGCTGCTGTTCCTATTTTATAGATGGGAAAATTAAGATGCCAAGTAACAGATCAAGGTCATACAGATAGAAAGTGTCAGAATGGAAATTCGTCCTGGAAATCAGTGATCATTATAGAAACAATAGATAAATTTAAAGTATCATTCATCCAAAAAGTTAATGGTTGATAGGTATTATTTTTTGGAATTACTATTTTTTTTCTACACACTATTTACTTTATGTAAGAGCAAACTATGTTTGTTACTAAATGCTGAGTTTAGGATCTATGGCCAAGAGGAATTAGCATCATTTCTTCCTCTAATATTCCAGGAGTGCATGGCAAGATGAAATTTTTGAGACATTAATTTATTTCTACCTCCTTATCCCTTGCTTTAATAAGGTGGCACTAAGAAAAATCTTCAGACAATTCAGACAATTCCTTTTCTCTATTCTGTTTCTAAAAAGTGTGTTGAGAAGATTTTTTTTTCCTCCAGGCTCTGGTTGATTAAAGGAGAGAGGAATAATCTCCAAGGGAAATTAAAAAAAAAAAAAAAGGAACTTCTTTAGTCTAGACTAAATGGTGATTTCTGGAGATGAGAAAAAGGAGTCTAAGAACTTTGGATTTCACAAGGAGAGAAGACTCTAAAAATATCCCAGAACCACTCTGGGTCAGCTCCTGGGGAAGGTAGCTGGGTCTCTAACAGAGTGGCTCCATTGTGAATTGTAGGCACTAGATGCCCAATTTCATTAGACATTCCACAAACCTAAGTATCACAGAAAAGCAGCTGTCAATGGGCCAGGAAGAGCAATTAGAAAACTACGTTTATTTAAAATTAGATTTTGAAAATTGGTGAATGGAAGGTATTCATTCTTTCATGCCTTTGTGTACTCTTGAAACAGAGTGTAAAGAAAAACAGAGCTGAATTCATTTCCATCCATTGACTTTATCGCATGATAAGGATAAAGGGGCAAGGTTGAATAATGCCATTTATTAACATAGCTAATCAAAGAAAAGATGATTCTTGGAGAAAAAGGGACTAAAACCTAGAGATCATGCTTCAGTGAAGTGCAAATAAATTTTAAAGTAGGGCATAAATATGGGTGACAAAAAGAACATGGTCCATAATAAAGTGTACTATTTTTGGAGGGTTCAGAAACAGTAAGTTAGTTTTAGCTTCAAGACTGTTAGTTCCAGGAATGGACTGAGGCTGCTAATAACTGTGTGTATACAAATAAATTAAAAGGATCATCTTATTAAAGAACAGGAATATTTGGTGACCTCCAAGGCATTGGGTGTAGAATATCTATCTGACTGAGTCTAACATAGGGAGAGAGGGGCAGGTTAGACTGGAAGTGATTTAGGTTGACAGAAATCAAGAATTGCAGAGAAAAAAAAGGCACAATGGGTTGGAATGGACACATCAAAATTAACATTATCAACTTGGTTCTGTGTTATTCTATAAAAAGAAGCATAAACGATGTAATTAACAGTTAAGTGGCCTACTCAAACTCACAGATAACTGATCTTGAAATTATATGATTCTATTATGGTTATTTGATAAAATATTCTTCCCACCCATGCAAAATTAGTTATACCTTGCCCTTCTGTAATTATATTGTGGTAGGGAACATACCACTTGTGTATGTCACCCTGAATGCTTTATTTAAAAAATAGAGATTATACATTTGCCTTTTGTTTCCAAATATATGTCCATTAACAACTGCCCAATTATATAAACTTGGAATCCTAGAAATTTCTCAGCACCAGAAGTGTGACTGGGAAGTCTGTGAGTTTATGGTAGTATATGTAGAGAATTGTGCATCAAACATCATTCTCTCTGAAGGGATACACTCAAATGCTTTCATGGCCAGACATGCCTACAATAGAGAATGATGAGAACAGTGGTGAATAAGGACCTGTAGTCCTTGTTTACAAAAAAAGCTCTTCATTTACAAATGCTAGAGCTTTACTTCATAATTTCAAACTTAAAATTTTGACACTATTAAATAGTAGTAGGATGTTATTATATATGATAAAAAATATAAAAAAGGATAAGTAATATTCCTTTCACAAAAGAAGTAAATTAAGGGACACTATAACTACGCTGGCTACCAATGCTAATTATATATTATAAGTGCTTAGAAGATTTAACTGCTTATAAAACCACTCACATACATTAACATGGGAACAATATTGATTGAACTACAATAATTATATTTATATTAGCTTTGTGTCAGCACATTTTGGAATATATCTGACCTTTTTTTTACTTCCATTAAAAAATACATTAATTTCAAGGATAAGGACTATAGTCATTATCAATATATTAAAAAGAGAAAATGGTTTCTAATAGTGCTTTGAGAATTCAATTAAAATCTTGTTAAAGATATTTTTCATAGATTTTGTCCCATATACCATAAGATGGAAACACTGAGTAACACTAAATTTTGAAATGTTAGTATCTTCTTGTTGTTGTAGAATAGACTTCTCAATAAATAATGTAATCAGAATATTACTCAGTATTTAACAATTCTCTGATACAAAATAACCTTTAAACAATTATTATTGTCTATCATTTTTTCAAGATTTATTTATTTGAGAGAGAGAGAATGTGATGGATGAGGGGTTGAGGGAGAGGGAAAGAGCATCTCCAGCAGACTCCCTGCTGAGCATGGAGCTAGATTTGGGGCTCAGTCTCATGACCCTCAGATCATGACCTGAGCTGAAATCAAGAGTCAGCGGCTTAGATGACTGAGTCACCCAGTGCCCCTTGTCCACCATTAAGCAACAAAGCATCTTTAATTAGAAAACTAAAGACACACAATGTAATTCATAACTTTCTAATAACAATACAGCATGAGTACTTAGAATCAATACCAGCCACTGTACTAGGTTTAAGCAGTATGAAGTTGAGTAGGTTATGCTCTTCATATGAAAAAGAAAAAAAAAACACATTAAAAATAATTTTATGATAAAATCCAAAAATCATGAAAACCATAATGAATCCCAAAATGCATACCTCCCTATCTTTAAACCAAATTAAACTGAAACTATTGCATGTAAGTTAAGTGTGTCATCTCAACTTTCCAAGTTTTTTCTTCCCCCATAATCTCGAGGACTGCCTTTATTTATAACAATTTCAATGAAACTCAAACATCCCTGGTACAAATATAAAAGAGCTGACCTCAAGCTCTGGTTTAAAAAGATACATCTAACCTTAAACAGCAAAACAAGAAAATGACTTCTTACTTGTAATACATATAGTCTCCCAAGCTGAAGAAATCTACAAACCTTACTCAATTACTTATTTCCTTATTTCCTTACATATTTTTAAGATATAATGTGTTTGGAGGAATGATTCCATATTTCAATTTTTTATTTTGATCATTATTTTATAAAGATCTCATAATTACTTAATTACAAGCTAGAGTCATCAATGAAAATTTAACCAACTAATGGAAATGTAACAACTACTCAATGAGGGCTAAATAATGGATCCTGAATTTATTACTGAAATTAAGATAAATTAGTGATTCAAAACCTCTAATTCATGTGACATCAAACTATTGCAAAGAAATCACTGTTTCCTCCATGCAAGGCAAATCATGTAGTCTATGAAGTATTAACTTCTATTTCAAACTGTACTTTCATTTACCAACCAGAATGACAACAAAACAACAAAGATTTTACCATTTGAAATTAGATCCTTACATATTAAAGCAGTTCACCTTACCATCTATATCATGCAATATTTTATTATAGTAAAGTAAATATCCTAAAAGTTTCACAAGTAATTATTTTTTGTTTATTTTTTTACCTTGAAAGGCAATGGCTCTTCAGTAAGAGGACTAACAGGAAGTGAAGTGGTGCTACTTGCTGGGCTCATATCTGCACTCTGCAAGGAAAACATAACTGAATTAAACAGATATATTCTGGTAAAAAGATATATTTTGGTAGATATTTTTATTATTCCTAGTTTAGAATCAAATCCTTCTCTGTAATAAATAAATAATAAATGAAATACGGGTGTAAAAAATTCACATTATATTATATTCTGAATCATTCCTTATTTAGAAATGGTTATCTGAAAAATTTGCTTAATTATCACTTATTAATGTACATTTTAAATGCATTTTATTAAATACCATGATCATCTTTGTGCCAGGACAGTATTTTAAATTTTGTTTGCTTCCTTTAGACTTTTGCCCCCTTCTTTTTAAGATTTTATTTATTTATTTGACAGACAGAGATCACGAGTAGGCAGAGAGGCAGGCAGAGAGAGAGGAGGAAGCAGGCTCCCTGCTGAGCAGAAAGCCTGATGCAGGGCTAAATCCCAGGACCCTGGGATCACAACCTGAGCCAAAGGCAGAGGCTTTAACCCACTGAGCCACCCAGGCACCCTCCCCTTTTCTTTTGAAAGTTATACTGTATCTGCGCTGACTTCCAATGTTTTAATTTCACTGTCTTTCAGGCTGATTTTCAAACATATATTGGAAAGTTATTCACTTTTATTTAGTGAAAATTTAAGTAACTGTACCCAGTTTTCATTCATTATTAAAACTGTTTGTCATCAATATGTAATTGGAAAATGAAGAAACATTAAAATTTTAAATTCCCATATCCATAGCCCCTAACACCTTATAATCTTTCTTACATTCTGCTAAAAAAAAAAACAAAAGTGTAAGAACAAAGGATTTACACAAAGAATTATTGGAATGTTTCTAATGCCGTTCTTCTAGTCTTGTAAAAATGTAATAAATTAAAACTTCTTTAAAAAGAGATTAGCCTAAAAAAAAGAAGTATGGGTAAGAAGCTTACCATTATTTTTTCTAAAAGCAAGAAAAAATACTGATAGTAGGTAGCAACAAAAATTATGTTACTATATCCTTAATTCACTCTGTCAGAATAAATCTTTCTTTTAAGTAGATAAGCAAATAAAACACCGAAAAGAATGAACAGCAACATATTCCAGCTTGGTTACCAACTGTGCATGCACTCAAATACAGAAAAATTTGCAGTGAAGATTAAAGCAAAAGAATGGATTAATTTTGATTGTGATAAGGGAATAAGTAGACAAGTTTGGCTGATTTAAGTACCAAAAAAAGAACACATTCAAAGAATAGATGCTACAACTGTTAAAATTCTTAGAGTCTCTTTCCATTCATGAGGTTATTTTCAGTTCATTTGATTTAGGTGTACCATAAATTGGACACATTTTAAATATCCTTAAAGTGGGATTATTTCTGACTCCATTTCAGCAACGACGCATAAGGACTATAAACATAGTTTACAATCAGTATAATCTTTATATAACATGTATTGCACCTACTTCAGAAACTGATCTAAGACTGCACATTGACTTAAATTGTCTAAAGGAGGAAGTTAGGTAAAAACTGAACAATAATTCTACTGAAGGAAGCAGAAAAATACATACACTAGAGTTGAATTAGCTACTGACTTAATTTCTTAATTTATTCAGAACTTCTTGTCCATTATTTGATCAAAATCAGGAAATATTCTGAACTGCTGCCTTTCACTATCTGATTATATAATATAACAGAAAAACAAAGGTCTTCTTAGAAATGAACTTACCACAGGATTCTAAAATTTTAAAAAATGGGTAAAACTTCTCTTCCAGACTTGAAAAACAAGACTACCGAGATGTTTTTCTCATTGGATTTCTCATGAGAAATTAGGCAAGTAATAGAATACAGTTCATATGTAGTTGAATTATCTGGAATTTTCCTTAAGAACTGATACTCTGTATAGCCTCTTAAAGTATCAGGCCCTTAAAAATCGTATGTTCAGAAGACAGAGATGACATCCAGTTGTGAAAATTTAAAAGCTTGTATCATATTCTCACAGATGAAGATTTTTGAACTTCCATAAGAACATGAACCAAAATCAAGTTTCATGGTTAACTTCTTTTACGGTTGAGGTCTCCCACAACTTCCCAGAAATAAATGTGTCATTCCTAAGCACTGTTAGAAAGCAGACTCCAAAATTTGCATCATCTAACCTTGAATCTTTGAATGTCATTCTTAGAGAAAACTGTGTTCCAGCTTTAACTTTCAAATCCATCTTATAGTATGACACTTTAATTCTATTGCTCTTAGGGAATCTTGAGAAAAAGGTTTTTAAAAAACAAATCAATCTTATGTGACATCTGATACACTGCATTTAATTATCAAGTTGAAAAATACAAAGCAAAAATAGAAAAACTGTATCTTCATTTTTAGCTTATTGTTTTTCCATTTGCATTTCAGTGATCTGTAATTTAGGTGCCATTTCAATTTGCTTACACTTTTAGATATCTGATACTATAGTAAACCCTTCAGATATAAATTTATCCATACTTCATACTTTAATTAGCTTACCCTTTCATTTAATGATAGCAATTCCAATGCAGTTGCATATCTAAATACAAATTAACAAAGTACTTCATAAGTTACATTTGAAGTTTTTAAAAGCTAACAGTGTATATGTTCTTTCACAATTTTCCTCAAAAAATATTTTGTTAGAATTATAGCTTCATCTGTTTTTGATATATTTCAGGTATTTTGGAAACGGCCAGTTCTTAATAATGTAAAAGTGGCTGTCTTTGGGATACAGAATTATTCTGCAAAATAAGCAAATCATCTCAACGACAGGAACCTCCTTAATTCTTATGTAACATACTTCAACTTTCTGACCCAATAGAGACTGCATAAGATGTTCCTGACAGGTTAAGACTATCTTAATTATAACAGGTGTCCTAAAAACCTGATTTTCTGGTTCTAAGTCTAATAGATACCTGCCTTTTTCCGACACTAGGGTGATTAAATAATATGAACAACATTTTCCCTATAGTTAAAATTTTTTTTTCACCCAAACTGGTAGACTTTCCCCCTTTTATTTCTATTGCATATATGCTAGTTCTCTTCTATTTTTCTCCAAATTGAGCTTAATGTTAAGCATGACCTTTAAGTTTAATAATAAAATCTAGACAAGTAATTACTTTTTTTTTTTTTTTTTAAGATTTTATCCATTCATTTGACAGACCGAGATTACAAGCAGGCAGAAAGACAGGCAGACAGAGAGGGGGAAGCAGGCTCCCCGCTGAGCAGAGAGCCTGATGCAGGGCTCGATCCCAGGACCCTGGGATCACGACCCAAGCCGAAAGCAGAGGCTTCAACCCACTGAGTCACCCAGGTGCCCCACAAGTACTTACCTTTTTACCTTTGAACCTGTCAGAGATATTCTACTGACTGTCACCCTCTTCTCATGCATATTGTTCTCCAGATTTCATTCCACTTATCTGTCTGAAGAAACTATTCATTTGTTGTTGCTGTTTCCATTACATAATTCCCCTAAATTTACAAACTACCTCATGCCTCACCTCCAACCCATCCTCTTTATTTTTTTTGAGAGTTCTTTTTTTTTTTAATTTTTTAATTTTTTATAAACATATATTTTTATCCCAAGGGGTACAGGTCTGTGAATCGCCAGGTTTACACACTTCACAGCACTCACCGTAGCACATACCCTCCCCAATGTCCATAACCCCAGCCCTCTCTCTCAACCCCCCTCCCCTCAGCAACCCTCAGTTTGTGAGATTACGAGTCACTTATGGTTTGTCTCCCTCCCAATCCCATCTTGTTTCATTTATTCTTCTCCCACCCCTTTAACCCCCCATGTTGCATCTCCACTTCCTCATATCAGGGAGATCATATGATAGTTGTCTTTCTCCGACTGACTTACTTCGCTAAGCATGATACCCTCTAGTTCCATGCACGTCATTGCAAATGGCAAGATTTCATTTCTTTTGAAGGCTGCATAGTATTCCATTGTGTATATATACCACATCTTCTTTATCCATTCATCTGCTGATGGACATCTAGGTTCTTTCCATAGTTTGGCTACTATAGACATAGCTGCTATAAACATTCGGGTGCATGTGTCCCTTCGGATCACTACATTTGTTATCTTTAGGGTAAATGCCCAGTAGTGCCATCGCTGGGTCATAGGGTAGCTCTATTTTCAACATTTTGAGGAACCTCCATGCTCTTTTCCAGAGTGGTTGCACCAGCTTGCATTCCCACCAACAGTGTAGGAGGGTTTCCCTTTCTCCACATCCTCGCCAGCATCTGTCATTTCCCGACTGGTAAATTTTAGCCATTCTGACTGGTGTGAGGTGATATCTCATTGTGGTTTCGATTTGTATTTCCCTTATGCCAAGTGATATGGAGCACTTTTTCACGTGTCTGTTGGCCATCTGGATGTCTCCTTTGCAGAAATGTCTGTTCATGTCTTCTGCCCATTTCTTGATTGGATTATTTGTTCTTTGGGTGATGAGTTTGCTAAGTTCTTTATAGATTTTGGACACTAGCCCTTTATCTGATATGTCATTTGCAAATATCTTCTCCCATTCTGTCAGTTGTCTTTTGGTTTTGTTAACTGTTTCCTTTGCTGTGCAAAAGCTTTTGATCTTGATGAAATCCTAATAGTTCATTTTTGCCCTTGTTTCCCTTGCCTTTGGCGATGTTCCTAGGAAGATGTTGCTGCGGCTGAGGTCTAAAAGGTTGCTGCCTGTGTTCTCCTCAAGGATTTTGATGTATTCCTTTCTCACATTGAGGTCCTTCATCCATTTTGAGTCTATTTTCATGTGTGGTGTAAGGAAATGGTCCAATTTCATTTTTCTGCATGTGGCCGTCCAATTTTCCCAACACCATTTATTGAAGAGGCTGTCTTTTTTCCATTGGACATTCTTTCCTGCGTTGTCAAAGATTAGTTGACCATAGAGTTGAGGGTCTATTTCTGGGCTCTCTATTCTGTTGCATTGATCTATGTGTCTGTTTTTGTGCTAGTACCATGCTGTCTTGATGATGACAGCTTTGTAATAGAGCTTGAAGTCTG